CCAGATTTGGACCTTGTATATATATATATATATATATATATTCTAGACGTTATATGTATATACTTGTTTCTTTTCTGTGTGGTGTGCTGTGCTACGTGTAGTGACCAGTCGGGTCGTTACATTTAATATTCAACATAATATTTATTTTTAATTTTAAATATTTCTAATATTTTCAAATTATAACATATATATTTATTCACACACCCTTACAACGTAGGATAAATATCTAATTTAATCTTGATTGCATGAAGTAGTATGATCAGAATACTTAAGTATTTGTATCCTCGTTGAGATTTACATTGTATGATTTTCCTTCGTACCCTGTTACCTTTTTTATGTAAAAAATGATATTTTGGGTATCTAAAGGAGAATATTTTGGAAATTTTGTGTTAAGTTTAGGGGTGTTCTACAAGGATGTGAAAGTCTGAAAAACAAATAAAAAAGAACACAATTGAAGGTGGTGAAATCTAAAGAAAAAGGAAAGGTTGAATAATTATAAAAGGAAAAAAAAAAAGGGTGAGTGAACTGGTCGGTATAAGCATTGATTTTGAAGAACTAATTTCTAATTGGACTTGTTGAAGTTATCTATATGCTTGATTTGTAATTTGTTGCTTGTACTTCTGTTACTCAAAGGTCGTCATAATATGATGGATTGTATGAATTTTTCATGCATTTCAAAATGATGTCTAAAGATTATTAATTAATATGATGCATTTCAAAATTTAAAGAATATTATTTTTCATGCATTTCAAAAATCATATTATAGAGAGGAGTAAAAAGAAGTGTCACGTTGCCATCAACACCCGAATGTGTATTGGATTAGGTGCCCGGTCACTCATATGCTCATCGCGATCAACTTTTTCTTTTCTTTTCTTTTTCCAGATATATTGTACTTTAAACATGCAAATGCAGGCGAATGAAGTTAACAGGTATTAATATGATCTTATTTATTCTACGGATCAGTATACAACCAATATATGTTATGTACTTCAAAAGTTACAAAAAAAGAAAAAAACGAAGGCATTCGGAGTGAGCTAATCCAACAAATTATCATGGATGATCTGGTTTACATCTCCATCTTTAGATTGCTCCCTTCAACTAGACCTGCAGAGACACAAAACAACAATTTTCGATATCAGCAAATAATTTCATAAAAGTGACAGAGAAAACGATTGATCCAGTGGCTCATCATCCAAAGAACTTAAAAAGAAGAGAACCTTGTGCTTTTTATGCCCATTTCATTTCACCAAATGCCAATTATACACTTCCAACCTCACAAGTAAATTTTGTCTTGCATAGCAATTTGCACTGATCTTTTCTGTTACATGCCCGTGATGCATGAAACCACTTTGTAGGAGTGAAAGTTGTGGGAAAGGGATGTTTCAAGCAAATAAAAGAGACAACTGGCTTGATGGCTGAATGATTAAAATACTCCTTTTAAAAAGAATTTTTCATTTTGATCAAAAATGACTTATCACTATCTGTGGGGCTCTGGTGTCATAATCGTCCATGAAAAATCCCCTCTGATTTGCTTCTACTTTCTACTTTAAGGATATGCAGGCTAAGGAAAAAAGTGATTTGACAAGTCATGAATTTGTAGCTACCTGTAAATGGCTGAGAAGGAAAAGATGCTGTTCGCCCTTGACCAAAAGCAACACTGTAAAGGCTTTGGAAATCACCTTCCCAATTTGAGGAGGGTAGAAGTTGCTGCAATGCACATAATTGAGGTCAATTTGGAGAACACTAATGATTAGAATAACAAGAACATTACACACAGGAGAAACTGAAACCTACAGCGAAACATGATGAGTCAAAAGACGTTTCGGGCAACAATGGTACAGGGATAGTAGTAGTAGTATTAGTGCTAATGTTCCTTCGAATTCCCAAATTCGCAGGGCTTATTCCCATGTTATTTATTAATCCACCACAGCACGAAACAAGTTGCTGAGATGAATTGAACTGAAGATACGCGGGGTTGTTCGTCACATCTGATGCCATCTCTATATTCGGAAAACTTTGAGCACAAGATGGAAACACCTGTGGAATCATCAAACATAAAGAGTTATTTATGTCATAAACATGAAGGCTTATACATGTTCTAAATTCTAATGCACATGTTTTGACTCTTTGAATATAATCCAACTAATGGAAAAGGAGAGAAAAAAAAATGTGTTATCCACATTGCACTTACCTCTTTGGCAAACAATTCGTCAATGTTGAAGTCAAGCCTTGGGTTTACAGCCGCTAATTTCATTGACAAGAACTGTATGCAGTTATAAATATCATAAAGTAAGCCACCTTATCCTCAAAGTTAAATGCATGTAAAATTATGAATCATGATTTAATTGGATATATATGTTTCTTTAAAATCATTTTTAGGAGGAAAAAATTAACTAAACTTTTTTATAGACTAAAATTACTTTATATATAAATTTTTAAAAAATAAATATAAAAAAAATTCTATAAATTAATTTTAGTTGTTAAAAAAGTTTATTTTCTTTATAATGAAAGTATAAACTTATATATAAAATAGATCTTTAAGATCTCTCGTGAGAATTACTTATTGATTTGTAAAATTCGGTTACTGGACACGTTCTAGAACTGCAAGAAAGTTGTAGAATCCTTAAATTTTAAAACATTGTAGCACTAGATAAAAATAAAAAAATAAAAAAAGTTGTCAAATCTTGGACAGAAGAAGAAATGAAGGTAGTTGGAGCAACTAACCTCAACTTGACGCTGAAGAGACTGAACGTAGTTAATGATTTCATCAAGCATTCCAGCTTTGCCTGCGATTTTGTTGCAACCGGGTACTAAATCTTGCAGATACTTCATTCTCTCGCTAATTTTCTCCCTCCTAACCTGCAGCAATTAGAAAACGTTGTCACTAATAATGTTGTGTAGAGAGTAGAGAGTAGAGAGCATCGAAAGCGTTGATTTGGACTCACTCTTTCGGCCAAGCTATGGCTATCAGTGGCATGGCCACGACGCGCTCGGACATGAATGTACTGAGGTTTTTGGTTTTGAACCTCGGAGCCTTTGGAAGTATCCGCGGAAGTTGTTCCGTTGTTGTTGTTTTCCTGTTCCCGGGCACTCACTTTGAGTCTCTTATCGACCTTGGACTTGCAATTGGTCTCAGCCTTTCTCTTCTTGGAAGAGAAGACGGCGTTAAGTTCCGTTGCGGAGAAGTGAGGTTGGTGGCACTTCTGTCTTTCCAAGAGTGTCGTGTCTATATTCCCGGAAGTGTTGAGACAATGCAACATGATTCCGTTATCCGTTATTCGCTCCACGCGCCAACGATGTTAAGGATGAGCCCCGAGATGCCATCGCGCTATATATAAAGGGGGAAACAAATTTGTTTAATATATGGCCGTAGAAACAAGGAATCTCTGCCCCGAATAATTATGAGAGAGAAACACAGGCCCATTTGATCCATCCATCCATAACCCACCCTGTGGGCTTTCGGCCCCACTGACATGACCGCCACGTGGGCGTGTCCAACTCTTCAAAACTCCTCTCATTTCTTTTTTCCCATTTTTACTAATCCCTTCTTCAACTTTCTAATTAATTCAATTCTATATAATTTTACTACTTTCCTAATCATTCTTCCTTTCTAATCTCTCTTGTTCTTCTAACAAGTACTTGCGGTGGTCAAAGAATATATTCATTTCTCCAGAGTCCACTCCACCCATCGATTAATCTTTGCTCCTTTCACGCTTATTTTTTTATTTGCATCTCACCTCAAAGATAAGTAAAGGAAAGTTTTTATTTATATGTATTTTTTTACAAAAAAAAATGTACAATAAATAGGCATAAAAAAAGAAAAATAATGTATAATAAAATAATTGATGTGATCGAGAGAAATATTATAAAAAAAAAAAAAAAAAGTATCATACGAATAATATAACTTGAGTAAAATTATAGAATAAATGATGTGTTTACTGTTTATTCCAGTCGATGAGAATGTACCCCCAAGTAAAAATTCCAATAGATGGAAAATTCTAACAGATACTAATATTGAGTTATGTATGGATACAAGTCTATTCCAAAATCCAATATATATATGTGTGTGTTTGATTAAGCAATCAGAAAAGTTGTACGTGTATAAATATTGGAGGTTCCACTTGAAAGAAAGGGATTGATGGATTAACAAGAATAGCCTGTTAGACTGTGTCCGCTAATCCTTAGGTTAGGAATTGACCTCTCCCACTTAATTGCTAAACATGACAGATTCTTTTGTTTTAGTTACTCATTAGGGATATTTAGTTGCTGTAATGGGACAAATGAAGCAGTCAAAGGAAATCACATAATATATGTTGTTGCCATCTTAATGATACCTTTCTTGTTGGTAACTAAATTCTCGAGTATTAGGACAATTTGCACGCAGCCACTTGACTGACATTAACATTACTATTGTCTAAATCATGGTTTGCTTGCAAAATTGTGCTGCCATTTGAAGCTTGAAGCAATATTGGAAGGTAAAGGTGACCAAATATACTTTTGAGATTGGTAGGAACAAGTCCAGAGAGGATGAAGGCAACTTCCATTATCACCTAATGGACCCTCAATATCTCTCTAACTTTATTTTTGGTTCAAGTCTCTATCACCTCTCTCTAGGTCCCCTCTTCCTATGTACCAGTTGCATACACTTCAAAATGACCCAATACCACAACCAAAGGCATATGGGTCCTCATTTCCTCTATCACTTTCTTTGTGGTATACATCAACACTAAACTATGTCCCCCCCTCTTCGTTTTTCTAGTCCCTCTTTCTTTTTTGGTTTCACAAGTGCTTTCCATCTTATTAATATTCTCTTTGACTAACTCTCCGTATACACTGTGCATTTATCATCAACCAAGTACCTTACACCCTGTATCAACAATGCGTCTCTTGTTATCTTCATTGTTTAATTAGGCAAGTTCAACGTGCATGCCATTCATCATGCTTAATCTAAAATATACTTTATGATGTAGTTATATAGTTTAATTAGTTCATTACAATTCATTAGCATTTAAGTGTCACAAACTATTATGCAAATGATGAAAATATCGATCACTGTCTTAATTAAGTTGTATTTCATGCAACAAATTAACAATACCCTGATGCACCTACGTGATAGCATGACAGTATTGAGGTATATTACTGTTGCTTTTCTACTCATTTCTTTTGTTGATTTTGCCCCTCACATAAAATGGAAAAATAATTGGAAAAGCTCCTTATCTTATCTAACATGTGTATATGAATCAAAATAATAATTGGAGAGGGAGATGGCATATATGAGGAAGCAATGGAAGATAGCAGCAGATCCGATGTATCGGGAATCCTAGTTCTCGATGGTCCCTATCCTCCCTATATTAAATATATATACAGAATAATTTAATTTTTTATTTATTACATGTATTTAGTTTTTATAAAGAATTGATAAAAAAAAAAAAAAGATATTATAAGATTGGTCTTGGATATAATATAGGTCAAAAAGTAAGAGAGAAGTAGGGTTCTTGGAGACTCTGTTGCTGTCTATTGCTCCATAAGTGTCCACTTGCAAGCTAGCTGCAAATGATCATCATACAGATGGATGCTATGGGCTTCCTTCACTTCTTTAATGCACAAACATGCTCAACGTACACCTTCCCCAAACAATCCCTCTATACTCATTAAAATTGACTTGGTCTTACTTTTTATCATAAAATCTGACAATGATACGAACCATGTTTTTTTCTTATCTCAACACAAACTATATTAAATAATTCAATTTTATAACAAAAAGTTATGGATGTAAGATTGTGCCGGTCATTGATCAAATTTATTAATTATTTGTGTTTCTAGCTTCACATATGAAATGGTTGGATATTGGGACCTTGTAATAAAACCAACAAACTCCTTAAATTATGAATGCTTGGTAAATTACTTTAAGCATTTATTTAATAAAATATTATATAATAGCTTCCATCGTAAGCATTTAATTCAATAAGTATGTCCATAACATTGAGATAGAATTGAATCTAGTTTTCCTTCTATGCAGACTTTTTTACTAGGAATATGGTAGACAACTTGTAATTCTACTATAAATCTTAAAAAAAGTTAGTGATTGACTTTCATGTCTTACCCTAATTAAAAAAAATTTTATTATAAAAAAAATAATAAGTATATATATAAACTTATGTTCACTCAATAACTTATGTTTTACATTAAATTTTAATAATCAAACTATTATATTTAAAATTTTTAATATATAAATTAAATTCATATATTTTTTTAAAAATTTAAAAATTATTTGATATTTTATTTTATTAATTCAAATTGATAGATAGTCATAAAAATATTTTATACGTTGATTTAAATTAATGAAATAAAGTATTAAATAAGTTTCAAATTGAATTAATGAAACAAAATATCAAATAAGTTTTAAGTTTTGCATACTTAATAGTATTAAAAAATTTTAAATTAACAATTAAATCGTTAAAATTTAATATAAAATATAAATTATTAAATAAAATAAATATACTATAATTTACTTTTGCATTAAGTAAATCCCTCCTCCTCTGTATATAATAATGAGAGAGAATAGTTATAGTCATTTTCATAAAAATATCTTCAATTTTTAGTTTAATTGCTCACGCGATATAAGATGAATTTAACGTAAAATTAACTATTTTAAACATCTTTATGTCATAGTACTGAATTTATTCAGTGACGATAATTAAAGGCTAATTAACTGAATTTCAGGACTTATAAAAGTCTTCTATATATATTTAAAAAAAAAACAATAATATTTCATCTGCCTTATTAAGTTATTATTTATTATCTCCAGTGAATAAATAAATTAATAATAAGAATGAGAATTTGACTCTACTTAATTCAAATATCTGCGTCTTGAGACCCCTATAATTAAGTTTAATAAAACAAAACAAAATTATGATATATTTTAATTTTGGCATGATAGAGTTAAACTTTTTCCTTCGTTAATTTTTGTCACGTTTATATTTGTACATTATGTGGACCACCAAGCACAAAGACCAATGAGCAGCAAATTATTTTAGTTTACTTATGGGTTTTAAGTTTGAATGACAGCTGAAATAAAATTTCAAATTAAGGAAAAGGTTTACCTCTCATAATCGTTTTACTCATCTCAACTCAAATTATAGCAAGATAATTAAGATAATGTCTAAATATGAATATAACATAATGGTCCGAGAAGTTTAGATACGTGAATCTCTTAAATAAACCAAAGATATTTAATAGGAAATTAGATGTTGATTTGGAGTCCCATATAATTGGTAGTTAAGAAGGGAGTTGATTAAAGACATATATAATGTGTGATGGGTCTCAATCCCTTTATTAATTATGTGATGTGTGAAGATGAAGTAGGCACAATCAGTGTCCCCATGGAGTACGAGCAACGAAAATGATAGAAGGGTATCTTTATTTGTGATAGCAGACATAGCAAAGCATTCGAAAGCAAACGCAATATATCTTCAGACGCGCTTCCAAGCAATTTTATGCGTGTTTGGATTCTCATTCAAGAGAAATAATTATTTATTATTTTTTATGTATTTTGATGTAAAAAATTGTTAAAACATGAATCATTAACGAAAATTCAAACACGCATTCTATTTTCATCTTTTTTCCTATCGACCCATATACATATAAACTAAGCATGACAATCTAACACGGTCTCGTAGGTTTCATTCAAACCTGCCCTGATTTAGAAGGAAAAAACCTGTGTTTATCAGGTTTGAGTTTGGGTTCGAGTTTTTTCCGATTGATAAAATCGAGGGCGGAGGCGGGGACGAGGATGCTAATACCCGCCTCGCCCCGCTTAATAATATAATTAAAAAATTATTTATATATATATATATATATATATAAATCAAAATTAGAAATATTTATATGTAAAAATTTGTGTTATTTTTTTTTTTTTATATTTTTAAAATTCATTCATATTTATTTTAAAAAAAAAGTAGGAGCGGGGCGGGAGCGGTACAGAGAAACTCAAACTCTGCCGGAAACGGAGATGAATACCCAAATTTTACTCCCAACGGGTATCGGGAATGGAGGCGAGGAACGTAAAACCCGCCCTTACCCGTTGTCATGCCTAATATAAACAACGACCTTCAAATTAAAAAATAAATAAATAAATAACTTCGCCAAAATCAACTTTTACATAGGTCAATTTTTTAATGAAATTTTAAGAAAATTATTTTTTTTCTCTCAACTTTTAAAAATTTCAAATTATGCTTCTAAATTTTTTTTCTCAAACATTTTGACCTTAAACTTATGTAAAATCGCAAACTTATCTTAACATTAGTAGACAATTCAAATGCCGGACACTTTAAAAATTTGTGCATCATTA